AAAAAAGTATACTTAAAGTATACTAAGTACAACTTGAAGTTGTTCCAAAAATGTACATTGAAGTATACTAAGTATACTAAACATTGTAATTTAATACTATTAAAATATACTAAGCACAAAAGAAGTTGTTCCAAAATAGTTTAAGTACATCAATCAAAGTATGCTAAAGTATACTTTTTTTTTTACTAGGGCAGCTGCCAGTCCTTCATCAACCAATGAAACCATCACTGCTGTTCCTGCTGCCAGTACTCCCAGTATGACCCCCACGGCAGGCAGCGCTGCAGACTCGCCTCCTCCAGGAACTGCAGAGCAGGAAGTCTTCTTCTCTCCCACATCCAGAGCGCCGCAGGAGGAAGAGGAGGCTGGGAAGAGCGATGAGGAGGAGAAGAGGGAGGAGAGGGTCATCAGGAAGCCGGAGATCTGGCAGAAAACGTTTCCTCAGTCCAACATCTCGGCCGGTTCCGGTTCTGTGTGCGCGGCGCCGGTCCTGCTGGCTGGCCTGGCCGGGCTCCTGACTCTGTGGCTGTGAGCAGAACTAGGAGGACCGCCGGGGAGCGAACGGCCTCCCGCTCTGACCCGTAATAATTCACAAGCTGCTGTTTTAACTGCGTCTGGACTGGAAACTGGGTCAGAGAACCTGATTCAGCCTGAACAGAACCAGAACCAGACCCTGACCTGGAGGAAAACGCGCTGATCTGACGGGAACAAACCCAAACCAGAGACCGGAAACTGGAAAAATAAGAGTTTTCCACTGGAGCAGGTTTACCTGCCGAAGCTGGTAAATTAGAAAGATGTCTCACTCTTTTAAAAATCTCACATTTAAGAAACAAATCTATGGGCTTCCTTTAAAGTTACACAGTCAGAAATTAACAGCATTAATTTGGGTTACTTAGCCTGTCATAACGGGATAAAATTGGGGTTCATATTTCAGTCATTTTTTTAACCATGTCATTATTTCATTAGCATTTGTTACAGTTAGCAAGCTAATTATTTAGCTAGCAAGCTAAATATTTAGCTAGCAAGCTAAATATTTAGCTAACGAGCTAAACATTAAGCCTCAAACTGAATATTAAGCTAGCAAGCTAAATATTTAGATTCCAACTAAATATTTTATTTGCAAGCTAAATAGTTAGCCTTAAAGTGAATATTTAGCTTCAAAATACATATTTAGTTTGGAGCTAAATATTTGTTTTACAAACTAGTTATTTACGTTTATACTAAATGTTTACCTCAGAGCTAAATTTAGTAGATATGGAGATTTAATTTCTAAATATTTATCTAAAACTGTGACTTTTATAAATAAATGAATGGAATGAGGAAAAATATGACTTTGAAAAATAAAGCCCCATTTTCTTCTTTTAAGCTAAATAACCCAAATAATTCCTGTTTATTTTGTAACTCTGTAAAAGGCGTCCCATATGAATCCAGTAAAACTCCCAGAGTTTACATTGTGACATTAAAGTGACGGTTCATTGGATTGCTGAGGCGTAGTCAGTATCTTACCTCAGGATTGATCAGGAACAGTGTGGTGTCTGAAATCAGGTGTCCCTTCCTGACAGTCCAGGTCCTGCGCTAAGCTAACAAGTCCTTCCATCTAATTCCCATTTTTAATCATTAAATGATCCCAGAATAATCACCGGAAAACAAAATCAGCATCTTCGCATAAAGTCCACGTTTGTCAGATTTTCTATTTTGTTGCATCGTTTTCTGTTTCTTTGGCGACTGTGGGAATAAAGTTTTTAATATTTTTGTTGATTTGTGACGTCTCTCCATGAACTGTCGGAGCAGATGTCTACGGAGGACCGTCCCTGTCTCCATGGTAATGAGGGTTTTAATGTTCACTACAGAACACATCAAGTTGGAGACGTTTTCACTGGGAGTCGATGGAAAATGTTTGAAGTGATGAATCTGCTTCTGCATCTCCTCTCTGACTGACACTGGATCATTTATTGACCGGAGCAGCCGCAGCGGCTAACTGTCTGCTAACCGTCGGCTAACCAGCAACATGATGTAAATGTCTGTAAAAAAAAGAAATAAATCCCAACATCCTCCCCACAATGCAGGATCGCAAAGTGTTTTTTTTTTTTTAACAGAAAACTCAAACACTCAAACCTCAGCGTGAATGAGACCGGACCAGAACCAGAACCATATCTGTATGGCTCCCAGTACTGCATGTCAGGTTCTTTATGGCAACCATTCAGCTGTTAAACACCTGGGTGGACCTAGCCCCGCCTTCGAGGCGCCGCTCTGCCCCCACTCAGCTCCTCCAGACTAGCCAGCAGCAATTAGCAAACATTATCATCGAAGCTGCTGCTCAGAGCAACGCTGGTAAAAACATTAAAGGGTTAATAGAGGAGTCATGTTGGGATGACTTCCTGGAGGTGGAGCTTCAGAATGGGCAGGAGTTCTTAAAGAAACAGAGGCCCAATTTAAAGGAGTTAAATCAGTAAGTACATTTTTTTTAGTCATATTTCATATATTTAGCATTTTTATAACAACAGAATTTAAGAATTTAACATAGTCACTATATTTTGGTATAAATGGAAAACACAGAATACTGACCCTTTAAGGTTTTATTCCTGGTGGGATTCAGCATCATTTGGTCACATGGTCAGTAGATGGCGCTCTAACACCAAACCAGGAGACGTGATGAGTCACTGCACAAAATAGTAACTTGTTTTTATGGAGGGATGAAAACAGGAGATTAAAGAAAGAAATGCGTAAGATCTGCATGGTTGGATGGTTGGGTGTTGGATGGTTGGCTGCCAGCTGGGTGGAGGTTAAAGGGTGAACGGGGGGAGGTTGCCTGCATAGCAAAAACAAAGTGATGACAGAGGAAGAAAGGAGAGGAAAAGGCTGAATGGATTCAGCTGAGCTCTCAGCCAATCAGAGAGCCCGCCTCTGCTCCTTCAGCATCCTTGCTCTGTGATTGGCTGCTGGGAGCGGCGCTGCAGACACAGCAGGCTGAAGAAGAGGAGGACAGATGTTCTTCATCCCTCTCTCTGGGTTTATTTAACGCCATGGACCTGCAGCCCACCCGCCGCCGCTGCTGCTCGCCCCGCGGCATCATGGGAGCTGGAGTCCCGCGGGGCCACAGCTGATCAGCTGAGGATTGTGGGTCAGCAGAGTTGGAGATGTGAGGCGGTGGGCGGACGGCGCTGAAAACTCATCCGTCCTTTTCTCTCTGCAGCTTCCTGTCCGCCGCGGAGCAACGATGGGCTGCAGGCTGAGCCGCAAGGTGAGAGGATGGATGGATGGAGGGAGGGAGGGATGGATGGAGGGATGGATGGAGGGA